GCCTGTGGGGCTGTCCCCAGGGTGCAGGGCCATGCTGATGGGTACCTGCCCTGCTCAGACGGTGGCTTGTACACGGCCACGCGCTACGAGTTTCGGAGCCTTCCTGACATTCGGAGGAACCTGCACCAGCGACCACTGAAGACAGAGGAGTCCCCACTGCACTGGCTAAATGGTGAGATGTCCATGTCCCCCCCAGTCCTGTGACCAGCATCATGGGCTGTGGGATGCTTTGGAGCGTGTGGAGCAGGGGTGGGGAGTGGTCCTGGAGTCCTGTGTGGTTTGCAGTGAGAGGAAATTGAGGCAGGGAGGGATTCTCCATCCTGTGGTTGGTCCCCAATCTCCACTTCTTGTTCCGTGTCCCCAGATGCCGAGTTCGTGGCATCTGTGCTGGTCCGGGAGAGCAGGGACAGCCCTGTAGGTGATGATGACAAAATCTACTACTTCTTCACGGAGAGGGCGGGAGAGGAGACCACATCCTTCTTTGACAAGAGTCATGTGGCCCGAGTGGCTCGGGTTGCCCGTGTCTGCAAGGTAGGCATGTTCCCAGCCAGAGGGAGCCAAGCACTGCTCCTCTTGGTGCAGGGGCAGCATGCCTCCATTTGGGGGGAAACTAAGGCATGGGTAGAGGGGAATGCACCCCCCCACCAGCCTGTGCAAAAATGCTCCCCGCACCCTCCCAGAGTGATGTGGGGGGGAAGAAGATCCTTCAGCGCAAGTGGACGTCCTTCATGAAGGCGCGCTTGGTCTGCTACATCCCCTACTACGAGGTGCTGCGCAGCGTCTGCAGCCTGGATGGAGGTGGCTGGGCCAGCACTGTCTTCTATGCTGCCTTCACGCTCTCAGCACAGTGGTGAGTGAGGCAGCAGCCGAAACAACTGGGGCTACAAATCTACAGCACAGGGGGGAGGGAACCAGAGATGCTTGAGGGCATACACAGGCATGTGCTGCACACCTGTGGGTGCATTAATTGGGAGCAGTCATGTGTCTGTCCAGACTCAGGTGAGGTTCTGCCCCTCAGGAGGACCATGGAGGCCTCGGCTGTGTGCCGCTACAGCATCTCGGCAGTGCAGCGTGCCTTTGAGGGCCCCTACATGGAGTACCAGGACTCGACTCGCAAGTGGGCCCGCTACGATGGTGCAGTGCCCGAGCCCCGGCCCGGCTCTGTGAGTGCCAGGGGGTGCAGAGCAGGGGGGGCACGGGACAGCCACATTCCCCTCTGACCCCCATCTCCCCTGAGCAGTGCATCACGGACCACTCCCGCAGGAAGGGCTACAACTCCTCGCAGGACTTGCCCAACAGCGTCCTGGACTTTGTCAAGCTGCACCCGCTCATGTTTGAGGAGGTGAAGCCGGCTGGCGGGGAGCCGCTCCTGGTGAAGAAGAGCGTGGCGTACAGCCGGCTGGCCGTGGACAGAGTGCAGGCCCTGGATGGCCACTCCTACGATGTGCTCTTCATGGGGACAGGTGAGTGTGGGGTAAGTTTGCCAGGACTGTGCTGGACAGGGGGCACACCACACATTCCCTCTTGAACCCCCCGCTCTGCTCTCCAGGAGACGGCTGGCTTCACAAGGCTGTGGTGGTGGGCTCTGGCATCCACATCGTGGAGGAGGTGCAGGTGTTTAGGGACCTGCAGCCCGTGGAGAGCCTGGTGATCTCTCACGCCCAGGTGAGGGAGAAGAAGTAGGGGGCCATCACACATGGGGTATGCTTGTGCTGTGAAGCTGCCATTGGGCTCTTTGCAGGAGTGGGGGGATGTGACTCCTGGGTCAGCCCAGCTTGGGATATGTGCTGGAGTGCAGCAGGGCAGCCTGGCCTCCTTGCCAGCTGCACCCACTGGCACTGACTGTGACCTGGGGGCCCTCTTGTGCATCCCCATCAAGGGAGAGCTCTGCTGGGGGCATCTCTGGGCACCATGGGGCACCCCATAGCCAGATCAATGCTGAGCCAGTCTTTTCCCCATCAGAGAAGCCTGTATGTGGGGGCAGCCAGTGGGATCGTGCAGGTGCCCCTGGCCACCTGTGCCAGGTACACCTCCTGCTATGACTGCATCCTCGCCCGGGACCCCTACTGTGCCTGGGATGGCAGGGCCTGCCGTGCCACCGCCACCATGGACAGGTAGGGATGGGTGCCTGTCCCCAGCCGGGTCCCCACAAGCCTTCCACCTGCCCCATCCTATGCTGCTGTGCATCCTCCATGGCACAGTCACCCCAGAGCCACCCCCAAAGGTCTGGCCAGTGTCTGGTGGTAGGTCTTCTGGTGGCCATGACCTCGTAAAGGGTGGGCTGTATGCACCGAGGCTGTATGGCTGAAGCTCCCCCTGCCTTGCAGCACAGGGCTGGTGCAGGACATTCAGAGCGGCAACAAGGGATGCCGGAGCATCTCCGGGCGAGGTGAGTCTGCCACCCCTTGGGACCATGGGGATGCTGGTGTCCAGCGTCCCTTAGGGTGGCCAGGACAGGTGTGAGGCGGTGTGTGTCCCCACAGGCTCCCTGCCATGGAAGAACCGGACAGTGCTGCAGGGAGACGATGTGCTGCTGCCCTGCGACCAGCGCTCCAACCTGGCCCGAGCCGTGTGGCTGCTGAATGGCAGTGAGGTGCTGGGCATGGGGCAGGACCGGCTGCGTGTGGGGGTGGATGGGCTGCTGGTGACAGACACGCTGCCCCAGCACAGCGGCGAGTACCGCTGCTACGGGGAGGAGCGGGGTCTTCAGACGCTGCTGGCTGCCTACAGCCTCACTGTGCTGCCCGAGATACCCCGCAGCCCTACAGCTGCCACCCCACCCCACGCTGCCAGCCAGGCAGCCAACGACATGAAGGTGGCTTACATCTCTGCCATTGTCACCTTGGTGGTGCTCTGCGCCGTGCTCAGCACCGTCCTCCTCTACATGTCCTGCCTGGAGAAGCGCAAGGGCAAGTACGTGCTGGGGGAGCCACGGCCATCCAGCGTGGAGCTGCAGACCGTCTCAGCCAACTGCCTGCGCAAGGGCCACCGGGAGGAGGAGGAGGAGGAAGAGCTCACCTACCCTGATGGCTGCCTGCGGATCATCCCTGGTGAGGCGCCCACGGCTGCCACTTCCCCCGTCAAGGAGCTGCCGGTTGCTGTGCCCCCGCTGCCGCCCCCGCTGCCGGCTGAGCTCACCAACGGCATGGGGGCTCTGCCCAACGTCCTCCGCAAGATGAACGGCAACAGCTACATGCTGCTACAGCAGCAGGAGGAGCCTCTGGTCTCCCCGCTCTACAGCGCATCTTTCACTGAGGAGCTCAGCAAGATTCTGGAGAAGCGGAAACACACACAGCTGGTGGAGAAGCTGGATGAGAGCTCCGTGTAGGGGCTGGGGAGGGGGGTTCTGCCAGCGGGACCCTCCTCCCCTTCAGCCCCTTCTCCCACCCCTTTGCCAGCAGTGTTACAAGACTCAGGCGAAACTACCTCCTGGATGGCAGAGCCGGGCCGGGCCCGGGCTCAGCCGTTCCTTTGGCTTTTACTCACTTTTGAGACTTGCTGTACAGAAAAAAAAAAAGAAAGAAGCATCTATTTAAATTTAGAAGCTCTATTTATGTATAAAAACCCACTGATGGTGGCCACAAACTGGAGATAGGAGCTGGCACCTGGCTGAAAGTGGACACTGGGAGGGAGGGCGAGTTTCTGTCTCTTCATCCAGGCGTGACAGAGACACTGTCATGGACGTGTGGACTTGGCTGGCCCTGCTGGGTGTCCCTCGGCACATGGGAGCTGGACAGCTGCTGAGAGGTGGGTGAGGAACAGGGAGGGGGGCTGGGGGCTGACACACTGTGCCTGTGCCTCTTGCAGGGTGCAGGATCCCTTTCCGGCATGGGACTGGCGGGTTTCTCCTGCTGCCCGCTCTCAGGCAGGAGAGGGGCAGTGGACACATCTCACATTGTGGGGGCTGGCCTCGGTGGCTGCCAGCCTCTGCCCGCTCTCCCACGTCTGCCCCCCAGGGTTTCCTCTCTGGGAGAGGATGGTTTGGCAAGGAACAGAAACATGTCGAGGAGCTCACTACCCGAATGCATTGGAGCAGCTGGTGAAGGGGTGTGTGCCCCCTGCAAAGAGGCCACAGGTGAAATATCTGGCTGGATGCCCTGGGGAGGTGGCATCCCCAGGCCCTCTGATCCTGACAGGGCTCTGCCCCCTCTCCCCAGGGCGCCGGATGCAGCAGCAGGCAGCAAGATGCACTAGCAGCAGGACTGGCAGCCACCACAGTGCCCTACAGCATGACGAGGGACCAGCGCAGCACCCACATCCCCTTGATGTCCGCAGTGCCCCTGTGGCCCCAAGCACGTGTTTCTGCCCTCCTGTGTGGTGCCGTTGGAGAACTGGGGTTCAAGCACAGCCCTGTCACCTGTGAGACAATCCTTGGGTGGGGAAATGTCCTCATACAGTGAGGAAGAAGAGCCCTGGACAAGGGTCTGCCGGTCTGCCTCCCTCTGGAGCATCCTCCTCTTCATGGCACTTTCCAGGAGCAGCCATGGTCCCTAAATTCCCCCAGCTATTTCTGCTCCTGCCACCTCCTGGGGGAACCTGAGAGACTGGTGACAAAAACATTTCATATGGTGACACAGGAGAAGCTGTGGAAGGACAGACTTGCTGGGCTGTGTGTCCTCCCGTGTGTTCCTTGCTGGCACCTCTATGATCAGGACATTGCCAGCTCAGCCCTGCAGGGGAGACAAGAGGGGGGTGGCAGCCCCTGGGGTCCCTCATGGGCTACAGCCCAGGCCTCCTATTTCAGGAGAGCGATGCTTAGTGGGAAAAGGCAAGAATTGCACACCTGGCTTCTCCCATCCTGCCCCCACTGTTTTTGCTGCAAGAAGGGAACATGAGCCACCACCAAGAACCACCCCCACCCTCCAAGGAGGGGTATCACCCTGTGTCTGACACCCCTCGTGCACAGCTCCATGTCCCCTTGGCAATAAACATGGCTCTGTCTGGACATGGTGTGACGGTGTCTCTCTGCAGGCAAGAGAGATGGATGCAGACGCATAGGGTTGCAGGTGGAAGAGGCTTTATTGGGGCTGCAGGCGTGGGCCCTGGACAGTGAGGATGGAGGGTTTGTTGGTGAGGGGGTGCCACTGGCCCTGGACACTGGGATTGTCGGTGTGGAAGGGCTTGCGGATGCGGATGATGTCCAGGCCGGACTGGTTGGCCAGCTTCGTGACCAGCTGCACGATCTCCTCACTTGTCTTGCTGGCGATGAGCTCCTCCCGCACTGTCCCGTTCACTGCAGCAGAGCGAGGGGGTCAGGCCAGGATCCCCCCACTCCACAGGCCTCCGGGGGGCAGCTGCTGATCCCCCATCCCACAGCAGCTGCCTCAGCACCGCCTGCGCCAGGCAGAGGTTGCGCAGAGCCAGGGCACGGCAGGGACAGCCCCATCCCCATTCTCTCCCCGCGTCCCCAAGCACTCACAGTACTCAGCCCGCACCAGCGGGGCCGTGCCCGAGCCGGGGCTCACGTAGAGAACAACATCGGGGTGCTGCCGAGCAAAGTCCTGTGCTGCCTCCTCTACGAATTGCCTGGGGAACAGGGGGACCGTGAGCCCCAGCCAGGCCAGAGATGGGGGAGGGTTGTAGCCCCCACCCCAGGGCGAAGGTCACAGGTGGGGTCACCCCTCCCATGCCCTGCCCACGGGAGGGGTCACAATGCAGAGGCTGGGGTGATGCCCCCTGTGCCAGGGCGGAGCTCAGGGGTCACCGGTGCCGCCTTCCAGCCCCAGTCCCGTCTCGCAGGAGGTTCGGCGTCCCACTCCGCCGCTCCACTGTGGTCATGGGGCTGCAGCCCCGTCCCCTCCCCACGCTGACAGGGCAGGGGGGAGAAGACCCCCCTCCCCCAGTTAAGGGGCTCCCCGGCTCCCCACTCCCAACCCAGGAAGGCGGACGGGCGCCTCCGGCGGTACCTGGCGCCGCGGGCGTCGGCTGCGGTGGGGCTGAAGAGGAACTGCAGGCGCTGGAGCTGCCGCACGTACCGACCCACGCCGTTGTGCAGGACGGCGGTGAGGAACCGGCTGGGCGACCCGCGGCCCGTCATGGTTCCGCGCTCACCCGGAGCCGGAACCGCCGGAGGGGCGGGACGGGGAACAGCCGCCCCCGCCCCGCCGGGAAGTGACGCTCGGGGAGCGGGACCAGGTAATGGCGGTGTCCGTGTGGCCCCACGTGGGGGCGGCGGCCTGAGCGGCTCTGCGGGGCCGGGGGCCGCGGGGTAGCCGCCCATGCGGAGCGGCAGCGGCGCGGGAGGGCGCAGGGGCGGTCAGGATGGCGCTGGTGCCCCTGCGGCCCGGCAGAGCCGCCGGCCGCCTCCTGCCGGCGTTCTGCGGGGGGACCAGGAGCAAGGGAGCCTCGCTGAGCCCTGGGGTGCCGGGCCGCCTCGGCCAGCGGCGCTACAAGAAGGACGTGCTGCCCTCCCCCGAGGGGCCCGCGCCCTCCGTCTCCGTCACCGAGATCCGGCAGTACCTGCGGGCCCACGACATCCCCTTCCACGACGGGTACAGCTGCCTGCACACCCCCAGCCTCTTCACCGCCGGCCACGCGGACCAGCCGCCGCAGACAGCCGGCAGTGCCCCGTACACGCTTTTCATTGACAAGACCACGGGCAGCTTTCTGTGCACGGCCACCCTGGCCGAGGGCACCTGGCAGGACTTCCAGGCCAACGTGGAGCTGCAGCACCGTGGTATTCCCCCTGCCAGCTCGGAGGAGATGGAGGAGGACATGCGACAGGCTAGCGAAGATGCCCGCTGCATCTGGGACCGGGCTCTGCCGCTCTGGGAGCTGCTGGATGAGGAGGAGACCAGCAAGACCAAGGCCATGTTTGGTATCTCCCTGGTGTCAAATGCCACCCTGAAACGCTTTGGGGTGCGTTATCTGAGGACTGCCAAGTCCCTGGTCTTCCCCTGGTTCAGCCCCCGCAATGCAACCCTGAAAGGCCTGAAGCTTGTGAGGGTGGAGAAAAAGGGGAACACAATAGCTTACTTGGAAGAGACTTTACCCCGCATCGATTCCTATCACAATCTTTTTGGGCTGCCCCTGATCGGCTGCCGAGACACAGAGCTGGTCTTAACTGGGTGGGAGCTGGATGCCCTGGCCTTGCACCAAGCAGGGGTGGCCAGCCTGGCCCTGCCGCGGGGGACCACCTGCCTGCCTCCCGCCCTCCTCCCCTACCTGGAGCAGTTCAAGCGCATCACCCTGTGGCTCGGTGAGGACCTGCGCTCCTGGGAAGCTGCCAAGCTCTTTGCCCGCAAGCTGAGCCTCAAGCGCTGCTCCCTGGTGCGCCCTGGGAACCTGCAGCCCCGGCCCTTGGAAGCTCTGAACCAGGGCCTGAACTTCACCAAGATCCTGCGTGCTGCCCTGCCCGCCAGCCACAAATCCATCATCTCCTTCCGGCAGCTGCGTGAGGAAGTGTTTGGGGAGCTAGCCAACACCGAGCAGGTGGCTGGCATCAAGTGGGTGCGCTTCCCCGAGCTCAACAAGCTCCTCAAAGGGCACCGCAGAGGGGAGCTTACCATCTTCACAGGTAGGGGGCACAGTGGCTGGTGGACAAGGGGAGCAGAAGGCTCTTTGGTGGCTTCACCCTTCTGGGGTTGATGCCTCATGCGTCTTCCAAGTCTCTCTGCTCTTGGGTTTGGCTGAGCCTGTCTCGCAGGAGTGTGAGAGGCTGGGGTGCATTCCTCAGTGCTGTGGGACTGGGCATGCCGATGTGGTGATGGGCTCCCTGCCTGGGGCAGCACAGGAAGTCCTGGACTGTCCCTTACGCCTGCTCCCCGCCTGCCACCTCCTGTCTGAGCCCTCCCTGTGCCCACCCCACCGGCTGCCCAGCCCTTCCCAGGGACCCACAGGCTGTGGGAGGCAATGTCCATGCACCCAGGCGTGCAGTGTGGCATGAGACGTTGTTTATTTATGATGCGAGTACTGTGGATGGGCCTCTCTTATCCCACTCCCTGGCGCTTCCACCTCTCAACAGCCTGCCAGCATGTTCAGGATGGGTAGGATCATCTCCCCAGCTAATTCCTTCTGTTTCTGTTCTTGCACCAGGCCCAACGGGCAGCGGGAAGACCACCTTTATCAGTGAGTACGCGCTGGACCTGTGCATGCAGGGAGTGTGCACGCTGTGGGGCAGCTTTGAGATCAACAACGTCCGCCTGGCCAAGATCATGCTGACGCAGTTTGCGGGTCGGCGCCTGGAGGACCAGCTGGAGCTGTATGATGAGTGGGCCGATCGCTTTGAGGACCTCCCACTCTACTTCATGACCTTCCATGGCCAGCAGAACATCAAGTATGGTCCTGCACCTCCATCCCCAGTGGCATTTACCCCTCACAGCATGTGCTGCAGGGCCTTTGGGAACTGGGGCTTTTCCCCTTCAGTGAGTCACAGATTTGGGGCTGGCAGGAGGCATGTTGGGACTGTTCAAGTCCTGGAGTTGGCTTGTGGGGACCTTATGGCTCAGTCAGCTGCATTCCTCCTATTGTGGAAACTGTCACAGCCTCCCTCTGGGGTGGGGGTGAAAGGAGGATATGTGTCCCTGTGCTAGGACGTGACCCTCCACACCCTGCTCACCTGGCAGCACTGTCCTTTGCTGAAGAGGTAGGACAGGCACCTCCAGCTCCTTCTATTCATCAGGTGCTGCGGCACCTTCACACATCCTCGTGTGCTCTTAGGGTCTCTGTGGGCTGGGGGGATTGCAGGGCAGTGGGCAGAGGCTGTGTGGGCAGCAGCTCCTGATCCCAACTGCCTTTACTTGTGTGGATGGGGCTTTGCCTGTCCTGCAATGGGGAAGATGCAGAGGTGGGATGGGCTCAGCGCTCATCAGGACCCAGCCTGGTACCTCCCAGCTCTGTTTCTCTGTGTCTCTGTGCCTGGTTCAGCATCCCCACCCCCACCTCTGCTAATCCCTGGGGCTGATCCTGGTCTCCTCTGTCCAGGACGGTGATTGGCACCATGCAGCATGCTGTCTACATGTACGACATCACCCACGTGATCATCGACAACCTCCAGTTCATGATGGGACAGGACCACCTCTCTGTGGACAGGTAGCCCTTCTCCAGTCTGACCTCTCATTCCTCTGCCACCCTCACCTCTGGAGCTGTCCCTGTCAGGTGTCATGATAGGGGCTGGGGACCCACTCAGGGTGTTTCCTTTACTACTGTCTGGCCACCCTGTTTCTTTAAAGGGTGATCACTGCCCTAGGGAGGAAGAGATGGGAAAGGGTGAGCAGGTTACCAGCCATCCCTGCTGTGCCACATCCCTTTGCCTGTGTGGGCTCGGCTGTCTCACAGAGAGTGATCCCACATTCCTGGGTGCTTTCTGCTATGGGGATGAGGACCTTGCTGCACCCCGTCACCAAGCAGTGCCAGCCCCTAACCCTGTTCTTGCTGCTGTGGCAGGCTCATTGCCCAGGACTATGTTGTTGGTGCCTTCCGCAAGTTTGCCACGGACAACAACTGCCACATCACCCTGGTCATCCATCCCCGCAAGGAGGATGATGAGAAGGAGCTGCAGACAGCCTCCATCTTTGGCTCTGCCAAGGTGAGCTGGGCCAGTGCGTTCCCAGGAGGGGCTGGGATACTTTGGGCAGTTGTTCCCGGCTTCCATCAGCACCCTGAGTCATCACTGGGGACTTGAAAAGAGCTGAAAGGGATGGGATGTCCCCAGGAGTCCTCATGCAGGCAGGGAGCAAACCCATTGCCAGCTAAAGCTCTGTTGGGGCTTTAGGTGGAGTTAATTAATAGTCATTGACTGTGAGTGGGATGTACTAGAAGATAATTAAAGAAGCAGGCAGGGAGGGTGCAGGGATGGGCTCTCTGAGTACTCTGGTCTCTTCCGTGATGCTGAACAACCTGCAGTGGTGGGCAGGAGGTGCTGTCTGTGCACGGCCCTCGTGTGTTCCCATTTCCCCAAGATGTCCTGTGGCTTCAGCTCAAGCCTATCTGCCTCGTGGGTCACTGGGATGTCCCGGAGGAACACAAGGGGTTGGTTTTGGGGAAGTGCTGGAGTTGCTGTGGCCTGGGGTGCCCCATAACAGGGCTCGAAAGAGCTGGGCAGGCTGTCTGTGAGCAACTCTGAACCCTGTGATTCTGGCTGTATCCCTGGCACTCTCCTGGAGATGTTTTCTTCTCCCCAGGCCAGCCAGGAGGCCGACAACGTCCTCATCTTGCAGGAGCGTAAGCTGACGTCAGGGCCCGGGAAGCGCTTCCTGCAGGTGTCCAAGAATCGCTTTGATGGGGACGTGGGCATCTTCCCTCTGGAATTCAGCAAGACCTCGCTCACTTTCTCGTCCTCCAAAAGCAAGTCCAGGCTGAAGAAGGTGAAGGAGGAGAAGGAGCTTTTAGCCAAGAAAGCTCTGGAGGGAGGTGTAGGAGCCTCCAAGAAGCCATGAGCCCATCAGGTCTCTTCCTCTGTTCGTCTGGAGGGATGGGGACTAGTGCTGGCAGCACAGGGCTGGAGTATGCCAGCTCCTCTCCCTGGGAGCAGCAGCCACGTGCCACTGTGGCCCCTCTTCCTGCCTGAACCAACCTCTTGGCCACCAGCACAGTGTCTCTGAGTACCACTGTGAGAGGAGGAGTGGGCTAATCCTAGAAAAGAGTGACCTGCTTTGACAAACACTGGCTGCTCCATACTGGTGCTAAGTGCTGGGAGCACAGTGGGAATGGAGTCAGCCTAGGCTGGATGATGGTGGGTATCACCTCTGGCCCAGGGACTTGGGTATCTCTGAACCTCTGACAGGTCGTTACCTTGTGGATAAAATGGAGCCGAAATCATGAGTTGTTGCTAAGTGGGAGGGACTGAGGGGGGCAACTGTGTAGAGGGACACATACTTGAAAAACCCCCATCATGAGTGGGGTCTGAGGGCTCAGTCCTGGCTGGGATGGAGTCAGTGAAGGAAAGATGGTGAAGTGTGAGAGACGTGGATGGCTCATGCCCTGGAATTGTGTGCTCTTGGTGGGACATGGTGGGAGTGGGTGCGATGTGGCACTCCAGCTCTGCCCCCTCGGCTGGCACCTGACCTGGCTCCCTTTGCTCAGGATCTCCCAAGCCCCATTCTCCGGGCATCACCAGCAATAAAACCTCACAGGGAGCAGCCCTGCCTTGCTCTGCTGTGTTGGGGGAGCTGCCACCCCCCTGCCCTCTGGGCTGCAGGCAGCAAATACTGTGATCTGGCCAGTCCTTGCCTTGGTAGGATGAGTCCACAGCTGGATCTTGGTTTAATCCCTTCAATTTTTTTCCCTTCCTATTTTTATTAAAGAATAAATGTGAGTGCCTTTTCTGTCTCTCTGGCTGGAGGACCCTGGGGCTGGGGGGGGTACCCTGGCCAGGGGGTGCCCCCCCGAGGACATCCATGCTGCACCCAGCATCCTGCCCCGGCCCTGGCACACGGGTTATTAGCAGCCTCCGTGCTGGGCATAGCTTTAACCTGAGCCATAATGAGGGGCCGGAGCAGGCAG